GTCTCAAATACATATTATAATTAGATTTCTATTTTAGAGTTGTATCTTATAGGTAATTTTGTTTGGCAAGTTTTGAACTCCAAGGAATTGGGTTTGGAACTCTATTAATACATACCTAGGTTATGGGATGAGACTTATGAGATTGAGAGAGATGTAGTATCTTCATAAAGTTGTTGGATAGAGGTAGTTTATGGGTTGGTAGTGAGGAGAAAGATATGAAGTACAGATACGCATACGGGACACGGGTACGATACGACACGGATACGGCGATACGGCAAATTTCAAAAAATAGGACACGGACACGGCATGGATACGGCAATAAAATAATAATATAATTTTTATTATATATATATATATAATATATACTTTTACTTAATTTCTTATATATATTAATAAATACAACTCATTTAAATTAGGCCAATCATCTTTTTTTTCAAAAACATAAAGTCAATAGTAGATATTCTATTAAAAAAAAAAAAAAAACAAATATAGAGAGAGCACTATTTATAAAATAAAATATATGTATGTATGTGTGTATATATATAAAAGAAATAACACAACTTACCTAACCCCCCCTCTTTCTCTCCCCAATCACTTTTTTCAATGACCCACTCACCCACGTCTCTGCTCCTACCTCTATCTTCACAATTTGAGATCTTAGATCTATAAACACAAAAGCAATCAATTTCACGCCATCGTGTCCCCCATGGTTTCCGATCATTCTCTTACGTCTCTCTATCTTCACAATTTTTACATCTATAGACACATCAAACCAATTTCGATTTCAATTATATATATATATGATACCATGTTACACTAGTTTGGCTCCCTTCTCAACTTCTTCCTCTCTGGCTCTCTTCATCCTCTTCCTTCACTACTTCAGGCAAAAGAGGCACGGTGAAATAGCTCAGTCCCGAGATGAGAAGGCTGTGTCCGTTCAGATCAATATGTGTCTGATCAGTGTCCGATCGGTGTCCGGCCGTGTCCGTTCGGTGTCCAACTGCATCAAATATATTAAAAAATGCAAGACACGGTTAGAACGTGTCGGACATGTGTCCAAGTCTAGGATACGCGTGTCCGACACCGGTACTTCGACTCTTAGAGCCTTATCGATGTTTCATAGGGAGAAAGGCACGTAGAGTGGTACATGGTGAAAAGGCATATATGTGATGTTGGTACTCTATTGTTGTAGTATCTCTACGAATCATAGTGGAATCTCTTCTCATCCGTGGATGTGGCCCTAGTTTTGGGTGAACCGCGTTATATCTTGTGTTTGTGTGTGACTGCTTTGTTGGCTTTCATTGGGTCTCAGCATTGGCGCGTTTCAGCTAACCCCAACAATTTGGTATCAAAGCTGAAGGTGAAGGAGATCCAGAAAACACAAGAAGTCTCAACAGTTGCAACAACGGATTTCAGTTGCAGTTGGAGTCAATCGGCTTGTTTGATCACAATGGTCAAATATCATGATGGGTTACATGGCATGGAGCTCGAGTAGTTAAGGTGGAGCCTTGGAGGTTTGACTAATCTAGCAGCATATAGTGGAGACAATCGGAATTTTGCAAGATAATCGTCAAGATTGAAACTGCAATGAATTGTCCTAGTCAATGCTGTAGAAATCGATGACTGGCTAAATGGAATTTGAGCCAAGGTGGAGATTGTTGAAATTTGTGTCACAAATTCCTATTCTATTTAGGTATCTATTTTAGACTTGTATCTTATTAGGTAATTTCATGTTTGGCAAGTCTTACTCCAAGGAATTGTAGTCCAATAAGCAATTGGGTTTGGAACTCTATTAATACATACCTTGGTTATGGGTTGAGGGTTGCCAAAACCTCAGAGGAGGTTAGTGTAATTAACCCTTAAAAGTTTAGTAAGACAAACATAAGACCAGTTAAGCATTATAATATAGAATGCTGGACATTGAGATATGGCGTGTAAAGTAACTGTGGCCAAAATGTGGACATTAAGGTAGAATCCTGGCAACCAAAAAAGAAAAGATAGAAAAAGAAACAAATATGTATAGAAAAGGCTAAAAGAAACATAGATGGAAGAAAAAAGAAGAGAAAGTCGTTTAAGATGGTTGAACATGTCCATCCCAAACCATAAATGCAACAGCATGGAGTAGTTTTTTTTTTTTTTTTATAAGTAAAATTGAATAAAAGCGCTCAAAAGGGGAGCGGATCCCAAGAAAAATACACAAGGCCACAAAGGGCCTCTAAGCCTTCAGAGAGGCCAAAAAATCGACAGTATGGAGTAGTTATTCTCCTGCCCTTTTAGCACTTTCCTCTAGTAATTTATCCAAGAGGAAAGTGCTAAAAGGGCAGGAGAAATGAAGTTAAGAATGAGTTGATGCTGCAAGAAAAGGCAAGACTGTCTGAAATAACCAAGGATATTATTCAAGATAGAGCATAATAAAGAAGAATACATAAATCCATCCCAACATGAAATTAAGGCTTTCCAAAATAATTGAATTTATATGAGTATATGTTGACTCGTAAGCTTCAAATTTTCAGTGGTTTCTTAATTTATTCTTTTCTAATCCAATTTATATGGACTATCGGCAGGTAGATCTACCCGTCTGCATCTTTTTAGAAATTACAACACATACAATAACCTATGCATCTTTTAATCATTGTATCAATGAGCATTGCCAATTTGGGTTTTTGCAGTGATAATTTGAAATATGAGCTTTTATTCCATCACTTCATTGATCAATATTAAATCTTGAATTCCTTATCTTGGTGACAAATTTCAATAGGGTGTAGTAGGAAACTGCATTTCAATGTTCATGTAATTATTGAAATTCCACGAACCCAAGTCAAACCTTTTTTTTTTTAAACCCAACAAATAACCAAGAACCACTCTTCACTATGCAGATAGTAACCCTTTTTGGATGCTTATCCATATGACAGGTAAATTCCAAGATCTCCAGCAACTGAATCCCAACAAAATGTTTGTTGATGGTAAGCCACATGGAATCATGACGTGTTGGGTGTAGATGTGTCTAGGTGTCAGATAGTCGTAATCCTAAGTTTCAAGATACATGGACCCAACAAAGGAATCAAAATGTCCAACAACTGCGTTATCATGCTTGTAACACAAATTAAGAAGGATAATATTTGCAAAAAGTTTAACTTTTATGAGAGCGTTGTAAAAATTGTAAAGAGAGATTTTTAAATAAAAGTAATATAAAATCCAGGGAGGGGGTCATTTGGGGAAAAAATTCTTAAAGAGCACTTATTTCCAAAAACTAAAGAATATAAAGAGATTAGGGTTTCAAACAACAAAACCCTTCAATTGCTTTGATACGAGTCGGCTCTTCCTCAATAACCCACCTCTGGTCAACTTTTTTCTCCGATGGATTTTGCAGGCAGCATGATTCTCCTCCATTGATAAGAAAATCACTTAGCCAAATATTCTCTCTTATACCCATACTCATGGCATGTGGTCGTTACAAAATAAATAAATCATTGGTTGGTAGTTTGATAGCTTGTTACAGTTGAATATACGCACTCATTCCCATGCAGATTTTTGGCCTCCTGGAAATGGTGGTTTATGTAAATATGCATCATGTTTCATCATCCTTTTGCTCGTTCAACACCTGCAACAGGATGATTAATGCAAAGCACCACTTAATTTTTGTTTTGGGAACTTTAAGAAGCAACAAAGAGAGGCATCTCAGAGAGTCAAAATGAATGCAGCAGAAGTGATTACACCGGACAGCATCATTACCCTTGGAGATTCTCCATTCTCTAATGGAAATTCCTTATCCATAAAAAGAGAGATTAGCTGTATTTGTAGTGGCCTAATGGTGGAAATTTGCAGTGTTTTTATTGGCAAAAAGAGGGAGGCAACTACACAACAATGCTTCATCACTAACTGTACTCCATTTGAATTTAATGTCTCCAGTGTTGTTCGTATTATTTCTTGCAATCTGCTTTTGCCCCTTCACCATGTCTTGGTTGTAGAGTTTGCAAACCAAAAAACTTTCGTGCACTTCATAATTTTTATTTTTTATTAGATGTCTATTGGATGCAAACAAAATACACGTTAGCCTACTGTTCTTTATCATCTAGTGATCTGGTTTAGCTGTCAAAACATTTAAAGGGGGATGCAATTAGCTAGAAGTAGAACGTTATCCATTACCAATATATTATCAAAATATGGAATCTAACAGGCAAACAGCCTGAAAACATGGAAGTTTTTAGTTTTGCATGTATAATATTTCTGTTAGAAAATTTTGATGTAAATCCTCAGACCAAAAAGCAGACAGAGTCTGAAGGAATAGGGAATTTTTGCAATGGTGGTGGCAGTGAAAATAATAGTATGGCAACCGCAAACCCTAGTGGAGGCACTGGCCAATGTGATATGCTGGCAGCCGCAGTTACCGTGGCAATGTCTTTGCCAAAAAAATCCGAGCCTCAACCTAGGAGTGAGCCTTCATGTATGTTCACTTGAATCATGAAGAACAAAGAGATATCCCAAAAGGAGTCAAAGCAAGCACATATACAGAATAAAATTATTCATACGACTGGCTGAAACTACCAAGTATCCCTACCAACTGATTCGGCAAAGCTACTTTTGAAATTAAACGAAAAATGCATCATTTGTTCCCTCAATTTATAGGGATAGGTGAAGATCCACAATAACCTGTTGAAGCATGCAGAAATTTCAACCAGTGTGTATCAGCATTCCGTCCTAGAGAGAATTTAACATTCTGGACACATGTAAGAGGTAAAAGGGAAGTACTAAAAAGATAAATCAATAAATAAAATAAGCCTTTTAGCTTAGCAATATTTCCAGATTAGGTTGACGGAAGGTAAATAATCAAAGAACATCATATAATATACAAGCAATAAAGAAAATTACAAGTTCTAATATATATATATATATATATATATATATGTATGTGCACCTAAATATGCAACTAAATGGAAAATTTAGGTCATCCAGTTCCTTCATTAGATGAAAAAGGGAAAGATCAAGTCAAAAAACAAAACCTGTGCAGGAATATAGTGGACTTCATTTACAAGAAACTTGGAATTCTTATGCTCATGCTCTTCAGCTTTAAGCATACTGCAGATATCTCTGGCCAAATCCTCCTCATAATTTTGATTGCTGACAACAGTCAGATCGATATCTCCATCAGGAATATAGGTTTTCAGTGGCACTGATCCAAATGGAATGGCCTACAAAAAGTGCATAGGGATATTAAATGAATGCTGCTGAGGAAACTAATATAGGCATAATATCTACAATACTGCAGATGCATAATGCAGTCCTGTTAGGTGATTTCAGATATATGCACAGGATCAAGCAAGAGAGTTTCAATGGAATATACTGTTAAACACCGACAAAATTCTCATGTGTTAGAAATAAGAATATAATGAGCTATTTATAGCAATAAACTTTCATGGGATATCAAGGAAGCATGTCAATTCTTCAGATGTTGGAAGCTATATGATGGAGTTCCCCACCAGCAAGTTATAATTCTTAATCCCCTTGATAAATGGAATCCGTGCAAAATTAAGAAAACATTCATCTGACTAAGAAACAAACCACTAGAGATTGAAGAATGGAATTAGCACACGAAGTCAAACCACAGTATTAAAAGCCCCAGGAGTCTTTTAAGAATGAATTGCAATGACAAAGAACACTTGCCAGAAACAATGTTTAAGACTATTGGTAATCCAGAATTTTAAAATAATCAATATTATGTGGCCAAGGTTATTTCAGGTCACCTATTTTCAATCACCCTGTCTGACTATCACGAAGTATTACAAAGACAAAAGAAATGGGCATGCTAGTCATCTCAATGAAGAGACAACTCAGACAACTTATTTTTTTTGGATGCATAACTCAGACGACTTATTCAAGTACTTTTTGGGTAGCATTTTGAGAATAATGCTAACATTTTCTATTAAGACTCCGTTTGTTTGGATGTAAAATATTTTTCAGAAAACATTGTTTTATTTTCTGGTGTTTGGTTGTCAGTAAAATATTTACGAAGAACAAAAATACTAAAATTTTAAAAAAAATAACTTATCTATTAATTTTCGATAAGTTATTTTACATGCCCCACCCGATAGATTCGACTTCAACCTCGACGTAGATTTTTGCCAAACACCGAAAAAGTAAAAATAAAAGAATATTTTACCTAAAAAAAGAAAATATTTTCCAAATAAAATATTTTATGTCAAAACAAACGGAGCCTAAGAGTAAGAAAGATACTTCTATATCCTAAGTGAATGTAGTGTAATCAACCCATGCTATTTGCTGAAATGATGTGTCTTTTCGCAAAAAAGAACCTTGCATTAAGCCCTAATTACTGAGGGCCAGAATGGAGCATACTTGTCACAAAAGATGGTATGTACTGCATGGATGATCAAGACAGTTCGTTGATCTCCTGCCTTTACAAATTCATTTACATTTTAAATGAATAAACAATTGAAAAAACTGCAACTGGAGAACAGCCAACACATCAAGCATGATAATTAAAGTTCTAGTGATATAAGTAATCTACTAACAGGTATCGACGTCATGCAAAAGCTTGGGAACAAACTGCCTCATACCGACTGTAAATTGCCAAGAAAATCTACCTTGTGGAAACTACTGGAAACAGAAAGCACAAAAGTCTAAACTGAACCTAATTGTAAAAGAAGAGTGGCAGGAAACCTACATCAAAAGAAAAGCCTACCCTTAAATTCAACTTCTTCATTGAACAAAATCAATAAAGTAGGGGGAACAATTTCTCACCTCAATTCCATAATAACCTCGAAGTAGCCCCTGAACATAATCAATAATCTCCTTCCTTCTTTGCTCAGAAAATACCGTTGGTTGAACAGTAGATGATATCTCTTGAGTACTTTGCTCGGCTATCAGCCAGCGTTCAGCACCAATTGACAATGGGTGTGGATTAGACAAAGAGGATGTAGAGGAGGATGACAAGCGGTGTTGAAAATTTTCCATAACAGAAAAGAATGAAAGTCTCAGTGCCCAAGAAGAAACCAAGGAAACCTCACAAGCTTAATGCTCAGAAAGGAAATCAATGACCAATGATGTGCAAGACAGCATCAGAAAACCTCAAAAATTCACAGTCCAGTGTATTTGATGATTTCAGCGAGAAACTGAAACAAATTGGTAGATCTTGAGCTAGAAATAGCCCAACAAAAATCTGAAGGGCAAGATTATGAGCACATTGCAATGCAAGAAAATCTTGGATAGGTGATTAGGGATAGAAAATCTAAAAATCTAAAGTTGGTGACAAGTTGAGAAAAATCCAGTCGCTTGGAAAAGAGGTCCAAGATACTTCCATCTTTTAAAGCTTTGAGCATTATTTGTCTTCGTTAAACTACAAGTGTTTTATGGGTAGAAACCAGGGGTATAAAAGCAATTATTATTGAAACTTTGGGAGTTTTTTATAAGGTGACAAATAAGACAAGAGGCTTAAGAAGATGCCCGATTGAAGACAAAAGAAACTAGTGTCTCCTGCTTAAAGTTAAAATCGGAGACAAGCCTTAAGAAAAAGGAAAATTACAGTGGTGAAATAATGAAGAAAAAGGAAAAAGTTCGGTCTCTCCTTAAGAAAATTCAAAAATAAATCTAATAAAGAATTTCAGGGATGACAAGAGAGAAAGGAAGTGCAACAAAAAGGAAAAGAGAACAGATTCAGGGAAATATGGGAACAAATTCTGCGATTGAATAGAGTCTTAACTCTCTAGAAGAAGGTACTAGATTAAGTTTGACATCTAAAGAAAGAGAGAGCATGACTTTTTATTCCCGATGAATTGAAATAATGACTTCTCTCAAAGTTGTTAGAGCTTAACTCTAAAAAAAGTATTCTTTAATTTTTAAAATGCACAAAAAGGAGGATAAAGTAATTATAGCAGTAATGTTGCAGCAGGAAAGGAAATTATGTTGTTTTTCATGTTTACAACTTAGCATGGCTAGCATTAATGACAATTAATGCATGCATACCTATTTTCTCATTTTTGCATCCTTAGCAATTACCAAATATATTCAAATATAAAGATAACTATGAATTTAATACCCCTCCGAATTACCAAGGGAGCGTTTGGATTTAGGAATTTGGGAGGAAAGGAAAGGAAAAGGAGGGAAGATTATCTCATGTGCGGTAAAGAAACAAGGAAGGAAAGGGAAGGAAAATGAAGAAGAATAATGCATAACAAGGATGGATGGAAAGTGGGCCTAGTGGGGCTAGCTACCCCACTCAGAACTTTTTTATTATAAAGTTACCCCCATAAAGATTTTTTGCTGCCTCGAAATGCTCCCACCTCTTTACTATTAATTGTGAATGAGCGCCTTCTCTTTTCCAGCCTCTCTCTCGACTCCCTTTGACTCTTGCCCCCATTCCCCCTCCCCCTGCCCATCCCAACCTCTCCCAATTCCCAGAAAATTCCTAGCTCTGTCAAAAACGGTACGTTGATTTCTTCCCAACTAAGAGGAGGAATAACACTAGCTATACCGCTTTCATTATTCTACTCTCCTACCTCTTGTTATCCTACCTTTCCTTTTCCTCCTGCTTGAACAAATGCACAGAATCACAGGTTACTTTTCTGGCTAATAACTGCTAAATGTACCAATTACAAAAAAATAATAATAATAATAAATAAATAAATAAAAATCTCACTAGTTATCCTAATAAAAACATCAATTTAAAATTCGGAGGGTAATATTAGAATACCGTGAGCTTTCTGGAAAGTCCAAAATTTGGCCATGGATGAGAATATCCTTTTTCACAAGTAACATGGATAGAAATATAAGATCTACTTAACATATACTGTTCTTCAAAAGAAACCCTGAATGCATAAAACTCTTTACTGCTGCTGTGTGTAATTTGATTGATTTCTCAAGTGGTTTGTTCATTTAGAAAGCAAAAAGAGTTTATTCAAGGGTCATGTACTAATACAGTCAACACTTGTTTTGCACCTCATTCTTGTGCTGGGGGATAGAAAATATGTTTACATGATGCTGGAGTCCATAGGATAACTATAGCAAAATAATTTATATGCTAAAAAAATCATCATCTGGTTAGACCTACAAGCAAACAATTATGGGTTGAGTCAAAACACAAAAGTACAAGAGTGACATACACTTTAAGTTAAATTTTACAATAATGCAACCAGTCAACCACAGAAAGATTTTATTTAATTCTTCCACTCCATCCATAAGACCCAGAGAAGTTCGCATAATGTATGTTAATATCTGAAGAGGGAGATCAAGACAAGTTTCTTAAGATTCAAAGGCTTGCTCTGCTTGAGCAGGAGTTTGAGGTTGGACAAGTATAATCTTTTTTTCTTTTTTCTTTTTTCTTTTTTTTCCTCCGGAAGTACAAGTATAATCTTGTGATTGACTAATTTCTAGTACTGCTTGTCTACTTGATTCTCTACTCAAAGACTGTCGAAGTGATGGATTTTCGGAAGTATTTAATGCTAAGGTTTTATGATTCCATAGCTCATGGTTAGATAAGTATTTATGATAAAAATAATTTATATCTTTTTTTTTATTTTTAAACGATAGACCTACATAAGAAATACCAAGCTCTAAAAAATTTTACTTCTTTTTTATTTTATTTTATTTAGGGAAATTGAGATTTAGATTTTTTTTTCTTTTTTCCAAACAAAAGTTGATTCAAATGCAAGGATATATAATTGTGCGAATTTCAAAAATCTCTAATTATTTAAATTTCTCCGCTCAAACACACTCTAATAGTCAAATTTCCGAGGCAGTTTTTCTTCTTTTTTTTTGACAAGTAAAAGTTAATTAGAAGAGCGTTCAAAAGGGGAACGCGTCCCTAATACAAAAAACGAAAGTTAAACCTAAGGACCAATAGAGTCCAAAGATCAACTAAGTCATCAGTCGAGGAGCAAGCGCTTCCTTTCACATAACAGAAAATAGAACAAAGAATATGCATTTTCAAGGTCGCCAAAGACGTTTCCTTTCCTTCAAAATTTCTGCTATTCCTCTCTCTCCATATGCATCACTAAACACAGTGTGGAACTATCCTCCAATAGTTACGAGCGTAGCTTTTCACTGGGCGTCTTCTCCATGCGTTAATCAGTCCCATGGAGGACTGAGGCATTACCCAATGTATGCCAAAAATGCGGAAGATGAGGTTCCAACAATCATACGCCACAAGACAGTGCATAAGAATGTATTCCACAGACTCGCCGTCTGTTTTACATACACAGCACCAATTAACAATAGTGTTGCCTCTCTTCCTCAAATTGTCCAACGTCAAAATCTTGTCCCAAACGGTAGTCCAAACAAAGAATGCGACTCTAAGTGGAGCCTTAGAACGCCATATAGTCTTCCAAGGGAAATCATGACCAACGAAATTAGACAGACAAAAAGAACATGGACCGAACACCAAATCTACTATGGGTGGAAGGGACCGACAAAATGTCATCACTACCTTTACCAACATCTTTCTGTTGATACAACAAATCCAAGAAAACACATACCTCGTCCATCTCCCAATCCTGAAAAAAATGCCTAAAACGCACATCCTACGTAACCCTGCTGCTATCAAGCCGATAATAGTCAGCTACGCAGGCGTGCCTATTTTCGGCAATACTATAAAGTATAGGAAAGGAATAAGACAACAACTGATCTCCACACTATAAATCCTCCCAAAAGCGGACACGCCTACCATCACGAACCTTGAATCTGATGTGTGTGAGGAAAAGACATCCCAACCCTTCCGAATGAAATTTTCTGAGGCAATTTTTAAAAACCATTCAACCGAATAATTTGAAGAATTTAAGCAATTTATAAAGCTTCCTTTTAAGAAGAAAAAAAAAACACTCATTTTTTCCAAATAAATTATTTCATCCAAAATTGGAAATATGCTTCTCATTTCCTTCCATTGTACTGAATGCCTGTTCTAAGTAATGGAATCAACAACATTTATGAAAATATACATATAGATATATACGTAGAAGAATTTAAGTAATTTCTAAAGCTTCCTTTTGAAACAATTACGTGCCGATGCCCATTAAATAAATTAAAAATATATATATATATCCAATGAAATTTCTAGACTCAATTCTTTTCTCAAAGATCCTCAATCGTATCATGCATGCCTGGTAAACCAATAAAATGGTATTTAGCATAGATATTAAAGTTGCAGAACTACACACAACAATGAAAACATCTCATAATGGGAAAGTTGTAATGGGAAGACAATGCAACAATTGTCCAAATTTCAGCAGCATTATTTTGGTCATGCCATAAAAAAGCTCCATTAAAAACTCTCATTTTTGTTCAGAACTGACTACGAACTTTGTTCTAGTAACACTGGGCCAATAAAAAGTAAAAGGCAAAGTGGCAAACATGAAAATAATATACATGCAAACATACACACGTATTTAGTATTGGTGTCCCAACACCTACTGGAAAGAAAAGGAACTGGCGTCCTGGTCTAGCAGTCACTTGGGAGTTGGGGCCATTGTGGAGTTGAAGTCGGAGTTCAAATTTCAACATGTATCCAATATTTACATATATCTGTCTAACAAAACTGGTGAGACTATATATCTATATATATATATATATAGATATATATATATATTTATATATATAGCAAATTGAAATTTTACCCTTTTTGGTTCATGACCTGTTCATTGTTTCAGATTGCTATTGTAAATTGATATTCCAAGCGAATTCAAACCGAACAAAACCTCTGCAATTGGTCTACGATCCCTGTTCAATTACACAACTTAAATAATAACACCTCAATAAAGCTCTTATTTTTCCACTTGATATTGTTGGAAGCTCTTCCCTCCTACCTTCTGTAATGGTCTATGCAACAAGGAGACTTATATGCTTATGTTACTGCAGTTGTCATCTTTCTAACCCCCAACTAACTCATGGGATGTTGGGAAACAATCGCATTGCCCAAAAACATATTCCGATTTTCTTCTTCTTCCATAAGCTAGGTAAATTGAAAAGCATGCAACAGTATGTGTTTAGAAGAGTACTAAACTAAACATACCCGTACCCACCCATTCTCATGTTTTCTTGCAACCAATACATGTAAAACAGGAAACATAAAGAATGAATGATTTATCATATTAAATAGAAGGATAGGCAAATATAAATTATATAATGCAATCATAGTATTGAGAGGAGTACTAAACTAAACACACCGAATCCATTCTCATATTTTCTTGCATCCAATACATGTAAAACAGGTTATGGCTATATTGATACAATAACAGAATTTAAATCAATATTGCTACAATAATAGGAAATATAAAGAATGATGATTTATCATATTAAATAGCAGGATAGGCAAATATAATGCAATCACAATATTTGTAACCTTGAGCTTCAATTTATAAGTACCTCATTGAGTGCCTCAACAGCTTCTTTCTTCTCCTGTGATTTTTCTTCTCACATTGAATAGATTCTACTTCTTTATTTGTATTACTTGAGTTATGAACACGCGAACTTAACATTTTGAGAGAGAGAAAAAGAGGAGGAGGAGATAGAGATCAAAACCCTAACCCAATTATCTACTGCAAACCACACTCCCAGCAATACAATGAAGCACAGAGCACGAATCCCCTGAGCATGTGGGCGTGAATGAAGAGAAACACTTGAGAAACGACCGTTGACGGCTGCGATTGAGTGGGTGGGTTTTTTTTTTTTTTTTTTTGGTAAGGTTTATCATAACGTGCTTGGATGGGATTGGACGGTCAAGGTTGTCTTTTTTGCCATAGTTTTGACTTTTTATATAAGCATCACTGATGAACAAATCATGTAACGCATCTCGACCGTCCATTGTATGGTAGATCGACACGCGTGTGCTACAGCACCCTCAACGTCATCAACAAAACCCGCGAAAATTGGCGCTGCTCGGCCACTTCCAGCCATGACATTTCTGTCCCCTAAAACCCTATCCCCATACCCATTCCTTCACCTTCCTCACAAAACCCAACAAACCCACAAAAACCCTAACCCTAGTAACCCCATTTCTTGCCATAAACCAGAGTACAGGACCGAAAGGGGACTCGAATTCGACATCGGCGACACCTTCTTCCGCCACGAAAGCGCCACCGGCCGTGACCTCGGCGTACTAGCTGCTGCTCTCTACAAAAAATCAAAAGGCAATCTTCGTGTTCTTGACGCTATGTGCGGTTGTGGTGTTCGATCTCTGCGGTACTTGGCTGAGGCAGAGGCTGATTTTGTGTTGGCAAATGATGCAAATGACGATTACAGGAGGGTTATATATTCGAACCTGTCACGGGTATTGAGTTGTGGGGATGATAGGAGGTGGGTGGTGACACATTCGGATGCGAATAGGGTGATGGCGGAGTGTTATCTCCACAAGGATTACTTTGATCTCATTGATGTTGATTCGTTTGGAAGTGATTCCAGTTTCTTGAGGTCTGCATTTTCTGCTCTGAAATTGGATGGGTTGCTGTATATTACTTCCACTGATGGTTACACTTCTGGTGGTCATAGGCCTGAACAGTGAGTGTTATATCACAATTATTTATGAATTTGATACTTCACTTCTCTAGCTTGATTGCTTTTGGAATTTCAATGTTAATTATTCAATTTGAGCTTATTTCATGTTTGATAAATATATAGGGAAGTAGCCTTTTACTAAGAATTGAATGTATGTGTGTGACATAAAAAGTCAATAATAACTTTTGCTTGAGGCAAGAGAATGATTAACCACCATTGGAGGTCACAACATGGGAAAAATACATTTCTAATAAAACCATTGAAATATGATCTCTCATTTTTTATTCAATTCCTGATTCTTTTGTTGCATCACAACAGTTGCTTTGTATGAAGAACGTGACTTAACTTCTATTGTCACAACCTGGACTGATGTGCAAAACCACTGGCCATAAATCTTGTGATACCCCATGAATTACTAAACCAAGAAAGGAAGAGAGTGACTGAGAGGGCCACTCGTTCAAAGACTCTTTGTTCAATGGCTACGTTTGTCCTACACTCTCTCTCTTAGTTTAAACTCTTTCTTACCCTGCTGATTTGGTACATTAAACAATATCTTGATGATTTCCAGTTCTAGAAATACCCTTTGATAGAAAATGTCCTTCTTAACATCTTATTAACAAATTTAGGGTGGTGATTTTGTTTGTTGCCAAAACCCAACAGTGCAATTGTATTTGTGGCATTACTCAACGTAATGACATTGTCTGTTGCCAAAACCCCACAGTGCAGTTGTTTCTGTGGCATTACTCAACCTATATCTTCATTGAGATATTGCATAATTGCTTTGTTTGTGTATTTCACTCAATGGGACAGTTATAATTGTGTTTTTGTTTCTCTAGTTCTTTAGCTTCATATGGAGCATATGTTCGCCCTATGCCATATTCGAATGAAGTTGGTTTGCGAATGCTTATAGGTGGGGCTGTACGAGATGCTTCTGTGTTAGGGTACCGTGTTTTACCACTTTTCTCGTATTACTCGTACCATGGACCTGTGTTTAGAGTCATGCTCCGGGTTAATCGTGGAAAGCTTCTCAAAAGCAGGTGATATTAAATGTGATTCTATTCAAAATTTCAAATCACATTAATTTAGCCCTAGTTATGGTGACCATATATTGCTTTGTTTGTTCATAGCAGGCATTATGGTTTTATCAGTTACTGCACCCAATGTGGGCATTCTCAAGCATTTTTGTGGAATGAACTTGGCCGGATCAAGTGCACCTGCAACAATGCAGATGTATGAACTCAGCAGGATTTACATTCCACTGTTTTATTGTGTTTTAGCCTTTTGTTGACAATTTATTGTTTCTAACACTCAAATGTGATCTTCAAACATATACAGGGGCGGAGCTAGGAATATACATTTGGGTGGTGGTAGGGGTTGGCAAACTAGTAATATAAGATTAAATTTTAAAAAATAATTATAATAATTGTTTTTTTTTTTTTTTCAAAGCATTTTTAATGTATATTTGTAAGAGCATATGTCTTTAAATGATATGAGAAGAAAAATGGAGAGAAGAATAGTTGACATAAATGAGGTTTTCAAGTGTCGCCGTGTCCATGTGTCCTTTTGTTTGGAGATTTGGCACATCATGGATACATGCCCATACCCGACACGCGTACCCAAGTCCATGTAACATAGAGAAAATCTACAAGACCCCTGAGATTGTTTAAAATTAAATTTTAAAAATAGAATAAAATAATTATAATATTTTTTTTCAAAGCATTTTTAATGTTTATTTTTAAAAGCATGTCTATAAATGATATGAGAAGAAAAAAATGAAGAGGAGAATAGCTGACATAAATGAGGTTGTCAAGTGTCAAGAATTCTTTTTATTCTCTCTTTAATTCATAACAAATAATATATATATGCATGTATATGAATATATATATAGATATAAAAAGATAGATATAATATATGAATAGAGTTCTAATATATATGTTGTAGCTAGCAAGGATTACAATAATAATTAACATGTCTTTTACTAGATTTAAATTGATAAATGCAAGACTAAAAAGGCTAATTCAAATCACATTTAATAACCATAGATAGGTAACCATAAAAAGGAATTTATAAAAGTTTTGGTGGGCCAACTTTTATTTCCTACACAAAATCACCATTAATAAGTAAGCATTAATAGAGAGTTGAGAAATATATATATATATATATGGATATGGGCCCTGATGCATATAATTATTTTTTTATGTAATTTGTTCCTTAAAAACATTATCTTCTTGTTAGAAATGAATTAAAAAGAGGATAAAATGAAGAAAATCTACAAGACACCTGAGATTGTTTGTGTCTGATTCTATGTTGCAGGGACATGTCATGTGTGTCTTGATATTTCCTGATTCAATTGAATGGTATTCTGAGTTTCTGTTAGCTCTTTTCAGGTCTCTGGTTCACTTATTGTTTCAGGGCCACTCTGGACAGGACCTCTTCACGATGCTACTTATCTTACGGAAATGCTAAATTTGGCCGAAGCTTGGGGATGGACAGGCAATGGCACAGGAATGGATCTTGAAAAGCTATTAAAACAGATGATCAATGAAAGTGACCCCAGGTTACCATTTGGATACATCAAATTGGATGAGGTTTTTGTGGAGCTCCATCTTTTCCTGCTTTGGCTTCTTGATTTCAATGGATTAATTTACTCTCATTATAAACTGGCCTTTGTGCCTTTTGCTGGTACTTTGTTTTTTGATTTTATCTTTTTCCCCCATTATCATTTCAGGTTGCAAGTCGTGCAAAAATTAATTCTCCTCCCCTTAGGACCATGATGAGCACCATGCACGAGGTTTCTCCTCAAGTCTTAGTAGTCTATTAGGAAGATTTTAAATTTTTATGTGCGTGAATTAAAATTAAGGGTGGTTACCTCGAGTCATTTCAATGTTCCAGTTCATAATATTTTACCATGCTAAATCACTGTGTGTGTTAGCTTTGATCCCACATCCGTATCTCTTCCTGATTATATTGTTTGAATCCCAATTGAAAGCAAAGTGGTTTAGAAGTCCATCAAACTGTTTGACTAAAATTTTCGGTTTGATGGGCATGGTTGTAGGAAGGATATGCTGCTTGTAGATCACACATCATCTCCAATGCAATCAAAACTAACTGCCCGATGGCAGCATGCATTAGGATAGCAAAGGAACTCCAAAGTGCTGAAAGATTGGTGCTAAAGTGAGCTGGCTGTAAAATTTGCGTCTAGTGGCATTGCCACTGCCAAAGCCTGCGGGTCCAGAGAGCTACGGGAAGAAGGAAATGTGCACCTCAGATTATAAGCTCAACGTCATGCTTGCTGAAGACCATTTGTGATCATGAACGTTCAATCTCCCACCTATAAAAACAGATGGGAAGCCAGATGACTCAGGAGTTACTCCTCACATCTCCTTGTAATAGGCTCATATTATAATAGTGGAGCTTACACTTCACAAAATAGTTTGTTTCCCGGCATTGAATCCGGGACTGATATAAGACATTTGTTTTAGATAAACGATATCTCTGTGAATGAATTAAAGCAATTGTAGGAAGTAACTGCTTTAGATGACATTCGTGTTGCCATGCTTAGAGATTCCATTGCATAGGAAATACTTGGTGAACCAACTCAAATGTTCACCAGCAGCAAGACCATTCACATGATGGTGAGCTTGAAGGTTCTCTCAAGAAGGAATGGATTTTTTTCAGGGTCACGTTCACTAAGCAAGGATAATGAAAATATTTCATTTACTGGTTCAAAGTAGATAAAGATTGCTTACTGAACTTGAACCAATCAATAAATTAGAATTCAATTGCTCATTCTTGGTGCAGCAGGCAATGCCTGGTCAAAAACATTTTCTTATCTAGAAAATAATCCTAGTTATATTTATTTCATTTTTTTCCAGCTAATTGTGTTGGTGCTAAACTCAGCCACTTATTGACATCAAATTAGGAAATACAGGCATCCATGGAGAAATTTCAGGCATGAGCCCAACAAAGCAACATGCTGATTCCACCATGCTGTTTGCTGTTTGCTGTTTGCTGCTCAAATTCGACACTCCCCGTCAGTGATCGTGATGCTGTAATCTCAAAGCATCTAATAACCATCATAACCATGTCATCTTAGACTTTTAATATACATATATGAATGATAAACATATTTCAACACTAGCTTGACAAGCAAATTTTTGCAATTTAGGGACCATCTATATACCAATATTAAAGTAGAAACATAATAGGAGTCATTTGATTAGAACAAAACACATCTCTGGGCAACCAGATACAAAAAAAGCACAAAGAAGGAAATTTTATATGGTAGGATATCCAGAGAGCTACAGAAGTCAGAGCTCATATAACATGTTATTCAGTTTCCAAATATGGAATCCATCAACAAATATGGGAACTCTCACATATAAACATCAATTTATTCCCGCTAACCACCTGAAGAGAGCGTAAACTCTTCTGAAGCCAGTCACGGATAATTCATTTCTTCAAGGGCACTCTTTTTCATACACTTCACCAGCATATTTCCAGTTCATGACCTTCCATATATTCTTTAGGTAATCCGGTCTTACATTTTTGTACTGCATCATGAAAAAGAACAAATGATTAGACCACTCATGGGAAGGGCAACAAATCAAGGAAATATCTGCAGATTCAAATAGGTGGGTGTGGGGGAATTTATAAGGTACATCTCATGAAACCTCTTTCATGGATGGCATCGCCGATGAGTACATCATGAGAAAATATATAGATATCTTAGCATTGCACAATCATTGCAAAATCCTAATACAATGAAACAATTAAATGAGTATGCAAAACTCAAGACAAAGAATTACCTGCAAATAGTATGCATGCTCCCAAACATCAATTCCAATCAAAGGAACTAAAGTTGGTCCTTTAGTTACCAGTGGGTCCTGTAACAATAGTTCTGAAAATTATTAATACAGCAACGTAATTCCGTTTCAGTAAGAATATTACTGATGTAAATTAAACAATCTAAAAGACAGTAAAAAGCACATCGACTACATAATAAAACAATGCTACAAAGATCCACCACCAAACTCCTCCTTCCCACCAGGGATGTAAAAGATACATGAATCGAAGGTCTGATATCTCAGCCCAACCTAACCTTCCAACTGGGTCAAACCAGGGTTCAATTCTCTGAACTCAAGTTAGAACGATCGAATTGGAATTCAGGTTACTTTCTGAGTTGATTCAGATCAGTTTCTGACCTCCACATCAAATAAAAAACTCATTGTAAAACATAAATTAAATAAAATAAAATAAACAAAAAGATGATTAACTACATTCTATTTGAATTGCAAGAGGACGGTGGAACAAAATCTCCATCATGGTCTAATTGCATGGTGTAGTAAAATTTATATAAAGTCAAGTTGGGATTTGTATTAAGTTTAGCTTGTCCATGCAAGTTAGTTTGTGATGCCTGAGATCTCAACCAGTATAAGATTTGGATTTTTCACCCCACCCCACCCAAAAAACGAAACCCCTACAAACATGCAATCCCTTCAAAAACATTAATATTCTTCTATGCAGGCCATTTATTCCCTAAGGCACGAAAACTTTTCTGAACTATCAACCAATTATTACTCTATTGTTTCGAAGCCATTACACAGTGGTAAAAGTAGGAGGATGCCATGAATTAGCTCTAGGAAGAAACTTGAGTAAATACGCACAGTTTACACAATAAAATCTTGTTGTTCTGTAGCATCATCTAAAACGTTAGAACCCATCTTAAAGAGGCTGACAACTCAAATATCCAACCCACAAGTAAATTGTGTAGTTTGGAGCCGTTATACCAAAATGGCATAGTCCCATCACATGATTCCAAGATCTGTGGCAGTACAAGTTGAGCAGTCCAACAGGAGTGAGCAGAACTAATATTCTCTTTATTTATATTACTCATTTTCTTTGTTCATTCCAGTAACTTAAATGGCATAGTCCCGTCACATGATTCCAAGATCTGTGGCAGTACAAGTTGAGCAGTCCAACAGGAGTGAGCAGAACTAACATTCTCTTTATTTATATTACTCATTTTCTTTGTTCATTCCAGTAACTTAAAAAATCATTATCCAGTAAGCAAAACTACGGTAGCAAAATGATCGCCATCAAATTTCATGGCAAAATTTGTATCTTTACCTGGTTTGCAGTGGTTTCAATCACAAGTTTTTTCAATTCTTTGTCCAGGCCAAGCCACTGCCAAGATGAAAACATGAAAGAAAAAAAGGAGGAAAAAATAAAAAATAAAAAACAAAAACAAAACAGAAAGGAGAACAGTAAAAATAAATAAAGGAAGGAAGAACTAACTTCCAAGGAATCCAACAAATAATAATAAGTGTAATGAATAAATGATGCTTCGGAATATTAAACAGCTACAGCACTTACCACCCATCCGGAGCCCTGTAGAGCAGCACCTTCAGCATTCATCTTTTGCACCAATGTGTCCAGAGAACCAAAGTGTGTGTCGACAGCCCAACCCAAAGAACCCTTTGGAGGCTCACCACCTCCTTCCTGCAATAAGATTTGAATATTAGCCAAAAACTTGTGTCCAGGCTCTTAAATGAAAGTAGTATTGTCAACAGAAGTCCAGAAAAGCTCAGGACATAAACTTACGTGAACAGGAGCAAGATTCTTCCAGAAAATCGAGTGATTGACATGACCTGCTTGAAAACATAAATCAGTTCATGTGTGTGTGTGTGTGTGTATAACCAAGGAAAATAATTAAGCACTAAACAATAATAATAACAACAATTCCTACCAGAGATATTTAAAATAAAATTTTATTTACCTAAAAGAAAAAGGAAAATTACATAATAGAAAATGGAAAAGCAAACTGCCATTCATAGCGGATTTCCTTATGCTTATATTTCGGAAAGTATTGACTATGTTCACAAATCAAATACTTGGTAACTATAACAGATCCATGATATCAGCGAAACACATTTAACAGATTAGAAAAAGGGAGAGTGAGCAGTATTGGAAGATCTTACTTAGCTTGTGTTTCAAACTTTCACTAGCAATCTAAGTTGTTCAACGCATATTGACATGATTAAAAAGTGTCTTTCTTCTCTAAAGAAGCAACTTATGGTGGCTTTCTATGAAGAGGCTTACATTTTAAAAGTATCACGTATTTATGCTTAACATGCACCCACTATTATCCGAATTGGCTCTCAATTGTTGTATAAATCAGCCAAGACTGTATAAGCAGTCATAGTTCTGACTCATGTAACAACACATCCACATATAATCTCCAAAAAACTAAATTGCCACTTGAAATATTGTCATGATCTTTACATATTGGTTCCCTTTGAATGGGTTGATTGTCAACTGGAAAATCAATTGAGCCAAGATACAGAGTACATACCGAAAAAGAAAAAAGAAAAAAAAAAATGATGCAGGCCAACTAATGCAATTAAATTTTGTCGAAATATTAGTATATGTGTGTATAATATTGGTCATTTAGTCAATTTTGTTCGAATTACTTTAAGTACTCTTCAATGCCAATCAAGTGAATTGGGTCACTCTCTTTCATTCCATCTGCTCGTTCCATAACCAGCCATTACTTGGAATCCATCTTCACTTAACCACTTTCTGATTTTATCAGCAATTTTCCCAATAAATGGTGATTGGTGAGTGCAGAATTTCATTCCCAATAGCGTATTCTTATTTCATTTCTCTTTCCTTTTTCACATTTCTCATCAATCATATAATTAACAAGAAGTAATCCAATTATAACTCAATAACACAATAAACACATAAAATATATGTAAGATCAACAAATATGAAGCTAGAAATGATAGAACCTCCGCCATTGAACTTGATGGCACTCTGCAATTTGACAACCGTTGATGAATCACCCTTGACCATGGCCTCGTGGAGCTGCTCGAGAGCTTTGTTGTAGTTGGTAATGTAAGTCTGGTGGTGCTTCTGGTGATGAAGCTGCATGATGTCTCCGCTGATGGCCGGCTGTAAAGCGCCATAGTCGTAGGGGAGATCGGGAAGCGAGAAGGTTTGCAGGCCGCGAAGTTGCTGAAACCCTAGCCCTAGTCCGCCTAGGGTTTTTCTGGCGACGAGGGTTCGAAGGGCCATCTGGAGTCCACCAAATGTTTCTCTGATCAACAGATGAGGCAGTAGTGAGTGTAGGTTAAATGGAGTAAAGCCCTTTATCAAGTGAAAGAGAGAAGTTAAATACAGTGATTGGTTCTAAATTTTATTCATTTCTGTGAGCGGATCTGAAGCGAATTCGAATATTTTCTTTTCTTTTCTCCTTTTTTTAAAAAAATAAAAATAAATAAATTTTTAAAAATATTTGAAAAGGGTCAAGGGGAAAGAGGATGAAAGGAAGTGACATGAGAGCATGGATGGCAATTTCCTCCAACTCGCTGGATTTTTATCCCGTTCCGTTCCTAATGAGGCAGATTTGGTAACTCCATCAATGGGTTTGGGTTCGGGTGGGAGTGGATTTAGTGATGCCCCCACCCCAGCCCCGCCCCGACCCCGATTATATATATATATATATATATATATATATATATATATAATTTAAGTGTTCATTAATATATTTTGATTAAATATTCGTTAGAATTACTACTTACTAAAATTTTACAATTGTGCACGTGATTCAATCTTAAAAAATTCAAGATCTTAATATTATATCCCAAGTTCAGTAATTAATTCAACAGTTTCAACTTTACCGCAATTAAACGGAGTATGCGGGGCGGAGTTGGTATTTTGTCTACCGGAGTAGAGGTTGGAATAGTATACCAATTATAAACACGTCTCGGAGTTGGAACGGAGTTGGTATGACGAATTTTTTAATAGGGCGGAGTAGGGTTTAGCCAACTCCATCCCAACTTCGCCCCATTGCGATCCCTACATAAGAGAAGAGTATGCATCCATCCTTTAGTACATCTTGTGTAATTAGCCTAATCTCAGATTTGAGGAATGTAATTTACTGTTAAAAAGATGTTTCTCTTTGATGACTAGGGGTAAAATTGGCACTATGTTAATCTCAAAAAAAATATATACGTATATAGTTCTTTTGGTTGAGTGGAGTGGAGAAGGGGGTGGTGACACTTTTTTTTTTTCGGCCCTATTTAGTGACACGTTTGGTAAGAGTAGAGGGAGTGGGTATTTTATAATTGATTAAGGGTAATAATATCAATTTATATAATAATATATTACACTTATTTTGCTTTTACCTCCCCTTGGTTAAACCGAATTAGTCGTTTTTTGATTCGACTCGGTTCCAAGCCTAATGTTCGAGCTTCGGCTTTAATTTTTTAGATTCTTCCGAAGAAATACCAAATCAAACCATTTGCACCCTTAGATAGTCCAATGTGGGCCAGGAACCATGTGAGAGAGTCAATTTGGGCACGGTTACACACATTGAAAGGTTAAATTTGAATCAAATCCAACCATGAAAGACTATAACAAACTAGAAATATTAAAAGTCAATATTTAGCAGATGCCTCTTGTAGTATTTTTTTATTACACTGTAATGAATGAATTTTTAAATTTACCTTTTATTTTGAAATGATGGGATCCACAACGTTTATCCTTTATAAAGTAACGGAGTTTTTTTTTTGCCAATTCCTTTAGTTTAGTCGGGCTTATGTGGGTACAAACATGGTGTTCTCCCTTTAATCATCACATTCACGCGCTTTTGTATTTTTCATAACCATCACGCGGTGTCTATGAAAGAAATAAAAATCTAATCAGCCAAATGTGGTAGCGTCTCACTCCTCAAACCATCGTCACATTCATCTAACCATCGGTAATCCTACGAGCTCCACCACTGCTGGAAATTAAAAAAATTACACAATATTTGTGGTAGTGTATAATTTACACAAAAAAATATTTTAACAAATTACTGAAAATGCTCTAATAAAATATGCATTAATGTTGCCAGCTGGACATCCATAGTAGGTTCTGCCACCAAAAGTATGGGCTAAATCTATTGGTGCAATTGTCATTTTTCAAAACGAAATATAGTACGTTAGGTTTTGAAACGGAACAAGAACTAAAATAAAAATATGAACAACTAATGTTAAACGGAGGAAGTATTTTACTTATTTATTTTGTCTAGTTTTGGACTCTCAGAACTCAGAATGATGAGAAATAAAGGGAAGAAGGGAAGGGATTGGTGTGGACATAGAAAAAAAAAAAAAAAAATCAATTCATCATGTCTTCCCTCTAACTTTTCCATGCACCAAACATGAGAACTTGTTTAATCCATTATCTCTTCTTTCCTACCGTCCGTTTTCCTTCCTAACAAACACAGGAGCAAAATCATTATCACTGTCCTAAGATTACAATCCAAAACCCCTCGTTTTGTTTCTTTATCTTTTCTTTCGCTCGTTATTTTTAAACTCTGAAAAATAAAATTTGTTTATGACACTCTTTATTATGAAGGCTTATATTGAGTCAAACCACTCAAATCCAATTTGAACGTGTTTTGTGTTATGTTACATAAACATTTTAAAAATAGATAACACAATTATTCAAACATGAAATGGAATACGTGTCCAATATTTTTATTAAGCATGCACAAAAAAAAAAAAAAAGGGTAATGAATGTGTATGCTATATACAGACATTCTTTTATTCTAAACATAAAATAAAATTATTAATAATATAAATATTCAACAGTGTTCATGTCCTATTTAAATTCATAGGGAAAATTACATATAAATGGAGTCAAAGTTCCATATTTACTTAGAGACTGAGTCAAAGTTCCATATTTCTCTAAAATGGATTGTTGAGGTGGCACATGGTTTTTTACTGTTTAGAAATTGTGGTGCCTAAAATACCCTTCTTCGAAGGTACTACTTTTTCTTCGAAGGTATTACTTTTTTGAACTGAAGGTACTACTTTTTGGTATCCAGGTACCATGTTTTTTAAACACCCGCGAAAGTACTACTTTTTCTCCGAATGTACTACTTTTTTGAACTGAAGTTACTACTTTTTTATTAGGAAAGGGCATTTTAGGCACCACAATTTTCTAAACAGTAAAAAACCATGTGCCACCTCAGCAATCCATTTTAGAGAAATATGGAACTTTGACTCAGTCTCTAAGTAAATATGGAACTTTAACTCCATTTATATGTAATTTTCCCAAATTCATACCTAACACATGGATGAAGGTTCAAGTAACAAAAGTTTTGACAGTTATTTATTTACAATTTAAAAAAAAAAAAAAAAATTTGTGGTCATTTTTTTTTTTTTCCCCTTTTGCAATAAAATATAGACATCATTATTTCAATATGATACTCCCTCTGTCTCATATTAGTTGTTCACATCAAAAACTTTGACTTACTACCACCTTTTATCTTTAAATCATTTGATATCATTTTTTGTTATATTCCTTATATATATACTTATATACTACCTCTATACGATATTAGATGTCTATTTCGAAAATTTTGTCAAAGTTTTTGAAAAAGACATCTAATATGCGACGAAAATAGTAATATTTTGTTATTTGTAAACTATTATCATGACGGGTCTCATTATCCAATAACTTGCGCTCTCATTAGCCAATATCTTGCCTCAACCATAAAATAAGAAAATTGTCAATAGTTCTTAATGAGAGAGATTATTATTAGATGATCTTAGCCGTCATTCACTTGGCGGTACACTTCAATCAAAAATCAAAATTATTGTTCTATTTTCTTTGTAACATATTATTACACACTTATTATGAGTCCACTTTTATTGATCATCGTGTCTGAGTTGGGATAGTCCACCAAGTGTTGTTGGTTTAGAAAACAATCTATGCATAAAAACTCATTTGGGAGCACTTTATGATAAATTAATTTTTAATTTTTATTCATTATATTTTTTTCCGTAACAAGTTAAAAATAAATGAGGTCAACAAAGACTGAAACTCTTTGTTGTATTTACTTATGATAATTTGGTTTAAATAATTGCAATTAATTGTTACTAAGAATATTAAGAAAATGACTAAAAAGCGAAAGAGTCTTAACTTACGATAAACTCAAGGAAATATGAAGAGTATGATTTAGTTTTAAGTTTGAGAGATAGTAGTTTTATTGTGCAAGCAATTGATATGTAAAAAAGGTTAATAAATTACAAAGTTCAAAACAAATATAATGTTATAACAAGTATTGAGGTGCAAGAGAATTTAAAAATTTATAATAAGTCCAAAATATATGAGATTGTTGAGAGAGAAAATGAAATGGTAAAAAAAATAAAATAATAATAAGATAAAACTTTTCCATTTCAAGGAAACTTGTATTAAGTTGTTAACCAATAAAAGAACAATTGTATTTATTTGATAATTAATATGAAATATACAAGACATAATTAATATGAAATATATAACTAATATAACGAGATCACTTGTATGCGGCTCTTCTTTTATTGAAGGCCCTAGGCGATTACTTTATGGTTAGGTCCCTCCCTTTCATTATACCACGTCATCGTTTTAACAATCGCAATAAATAATTTTTTATAAATAATAATAGATGTCGAGAACAATTAATCTAAAAATATAACACTTTCTCTAAATGTATTTGATAATTAATACAATAAATAAAGCATAATTAATACACTACAAGAAATATATAAATAATATAATGAGATCACTTGTACCGAAGTCTTCTACCATTGGAGGCCTTAGGCGATTGCTGTAATTGCCTTGTGGTTAAGGGACAGACAGATGTTAAAAACAATTAATCTAAAAGTATAATCCTTTATGTTGTGTTAAAAGAAAGTGCGTAATAGTTGACAATCAATGAAGGTGTGAAAGTTAAACAATATATATATATATACATATATAAATGTGTATATTTATTCCAATCTATATTTATTTATTGCATAATAAATCTCAACCCCATCCCCTTATAAAATAGCTAAAAATATCCAGACTGATTAAATTACCTCCAAACTTTTTTATACAATTCAAGCATAATGTCAACTTTATCCTGTTAGGGCAAAGCCTAGAATATTCATTTGGGCCCGAACTAGTAATATAAATATACATTTAAAAATAAAATAAAATAATTGTGCCTTTAAAAACAATAAAAAAAAAATAATAATAATTGTGCCTTTCAAAAAAAAAAAAAAAAAAAATTGTAAGGATTTTTTAATACATTTTTAATGTATATTTTAAAAATATGTCTATAAAATGGTATATAAAATAAAAAAATACATA